GTACATTATGTCATCATTTTACATTGACATGGCAATAAACTCTGCTGTGGATTCCAAGTGTTATGGATTAAAATTTGGTGGTCAACTTAACACCAGCTGAATAAAATCAGCATGGTGCGGAGCATAGATGTTCCACCTGAGCAAAGTTGCCAGCATACACAGAGACAACAGAAAACAAGAAGCTAGGCATTGTGGAATTCTCTACGTGTTGTGTTGCTGTTTTGAGTCATTGGTTCTCCTTGGAGGAGCTTCTGATGACTGGCTTCCCCACTGTGAGTTTGACCATTGTCATTGGTGGTGCCTGGCACCTTGTTGAGAGTGGCTGTGATTAACTTTGGGGGAGTTCTGGTCCTTGCATTATCACTTCCAGGCCCCAGAGGGGAAGACATGTGCAGCTTAATCTTCAGGACAAAATTGTCAGGCTGGGTTTCTGGCATGCACTCCACTACTCTTATGGTCAGAGGAGCTCAGGATCTCCCTGTTGTTGAGGATAACTGTGGTGCTTTTCAGGGCAGCTGGGGTCTTTATTATGTGTCTGACTCCTGGGCTCCAGTGCAGCACCCTCAAAATTCCAGGGCAGTTCCTTCACCCCACTGGCAGAGACTTTCTAGCTTCCTTTGACCTTTGTGCCTTTCCAGCGCAAATCTATAAAACAGACTTGTATGAGTCCTTCTCCTGGGCTCTAGACTTCTAGTTGGACTTGTGGGAGACATTGCCTTGGGCTCCAGATCTTCATCTGGATTCATGTAGTTCATTCCTGTGTGATTTAGGTCCTTGGCTGAGTATTCTATGTCTTTAGTGTTGTGGACAGTTCCTGTACTTTCTTGTGTTAACTCTGGGTGACCATGATAAAACAATATTACAAATTTTGTGTCTTGATTCTAATTGTTCTCCTCAAAAACCCTGACAACAATAAGTGATAATTTTAAAGACTTTCATCACATTTATTTATGTATTATTTTTTTCAAGAATAAACCAAACAAAGTGCAACAGAATTTACCTGATCATAACAAACGAATGTAAGTGAATATAGACTTCAAACAAGATTATAGGAAATCAACAGTGGTTACTGCAATGATTCTTGTTGTCCTAATTTGGAGATTTATAATCAAAGCAAAATTTAAAGTGCAGAGGTGATCTTTATATGCCTGGCCCTACATGTACACAATATATCATCACTATAAATGATGGAAATTTTTTGAAATTAATAAACATGAATCTAAACAAAATGTCCTTAGTTCACCTGAAGATTGACTCTTGATTTTGATCATTTCATCAGAAAATGCAAGTATAATGCTTATCTCCATCATTTTCATATGAGACAATGTTGTTCCACTGCCCTAAATACCACTACCTTCTATTTGTGCATCCTCTTTTTCAAACATTTTCTATAAGTCAGTCAGATCATTCCATTCCTATAGTTTTTCCTTTTCTAGGAAGACAACATCTTGGAATTTATAGTATGAAAGTCTTTGAAAAGCTAACCTTGAATTATAGCGATATGGAACATGGAAATAAAAATAACAAATAATAGATTTCGCTACCACCAAGACTCCCTTTATAACATCTATTATTATCACAAATATCCAAACATAGTATAAAGGTGTTAGAATCTTTACTATACGGCACAATGGTGTTTGCACAGTACTGATTGTATTTCAGAGAGTACAGATTGCTTGGACTGAATGTTAAGAGACTATTGTAATTTGAAAACATGCAGAGGAATTGGTATATTCTTTTTTTTTCAAGAAAGTTTAATTGATACATAATTTAATATAAGTCCTTATGTCTATAGATATAGTCAATTATTTTACAGGTGGGGCCTTGGAACTCTCACGGTTGTTTTCCTGTATCATTCAGATCCATTCACTGTTTCACTTAACCTAGATCATTGTCTTTCTCTACAAGACAGGGAAGACCTTTTGATTGTGTTGATCTGTTTCCTAAGGAAAAAAAGGAGAGAAAATTTAGTTTCATTACAAACTGAAAAAATTGACTATCGTCCTTAGTTTTAAATTTTTATGTCACTTTTAGGCTGTGGTACCTGAACATCTTCCATAAACACAAATTTCAACCAGGGTAAACAATAGACTTAAAATGTTTAGGAAGACAATAGAACATAGCATGGTTAACCTAGGGGCACTAGAATATTTTCTAGTTTTCCATTCAACATGGTAACAGCAGAGGAGGCTTGCAACTATTGTAACTACAAAATCTTGAAGTGTCACGCTAAATTTTTTTCCAGAAAAACTCATATATAGCCATAGCAAGCATTCTCTCTATGTGACTTGTTTCCTGATTCCTCAGTAAATTGACAGGATGTTTTCATTTATCCTTACCAACATTTTCTTCATTTATTTTTTGCCTTTTCCATAGGATGTATTAATTAATATTAACTTTCAGGCTTCTAAAACATGTCAAACATGGAAAAATGGTAATTAACGAAAACCTTAAATATCTCTACCTCATCTGGTTGCTACTGGGTATCAATTAAACAAAATTTATAACAGCAAGTAACACGAACATCTAAAAGGCACATCAGTTCTTGGTGGAAATGAATACCACATGACTTTCTAGGAGAAGAGCTTAGCAGAGTTTTCAAAAACTATTTTCATAGTGTCACATCCAGCAGCAGAAGATTCAAGCCTTTGGCTCACATGCTTGAAGACACCTGTTCACTCAATACCTTGTGTAAGACATTGTAAAACAGCTACATTCATAATAGCCTGCCATGAAAACTACTTAAGCCATCTTCAGCAAATGAAGCAGTTCATTATGATATCACCATCCATTCACAGTACTCAGAAATACAAAAGGTCACCTTTTTGGTACATCGGCAACCTGAATTGTCCTAAAAAACAATAATGTTGTGAAAAATCAGGAAGCCACTAGGAAATAGAAGTTGCATAATTTCTCTTTGTATGAAATTCTAGAGAAGGATAAATTTAAATTACGGTAACATCTGATAGACCTGAGTTTGACAAGTACATTGGCAAGAAAAGTATATGTTATTTAGTGTGTATTGTTATTTCCATGGAAATTTGCCAGTGTAATTTTGATAGAGATTACACTGAATCTTTATTTTACTTGAGATGGTATTAACATTTTAAAAGCATTAATTAGTCCAATCCAGGAACATGTGGTACCTTTCCATTTATTTCTGTCTCAAGTAATTTCTTTCATCACTTTCAGCTATATCTAATTTAATAATATTCTTCTCCTGTGAGTTTGTGTACCCATTTGTGCCCTGTCTAAATTTTTCTTCTTCTATGGCCTTTAGTTTTACTCTTGTACTTTCTTCTGAAGCAGACTATAATCAGTGAAGGCATATTTTTATTGGATATCATGTGGATAAAAATTTTCCCAGTATGTATTTCATTTCATTATCATTTCCAGTTCCTCCTCACCATTTACTGAAAAGATGGGACTTACAGCAATTAAATGTACTGTCTTTGTTGGAAAGTGTGTGTGTAAGTAGGTCTTTTCTCTGCACTCCTCTTTATAGCTTGTTCAGTTTATTTGTCTTTGTTCCTATGGTGCACAGCACGGCTGTTCTCTGATCACGCTCTGCCCATTTCTGTAATGCCAGAGATCAAACTAAGCCTGTATGTACCCTAAACCAGTGCACTACTATTGAACTACATCCCCATTCTCTACAAATATCTTAAAATAAAATTTCACTCATATTCTGTTTCTATTCCTAAAAATTTTTGTGACTATCCTAGGTCCTTTGGTTTTTATTGTATATTATAGAAATTTTCCATCAATTTAAATAAATCATTTATAGATTAAGTGAATTTCATTTCATGAAATACATTTGTGTGTGTGTATGTGTGTGAATATACACCATTTGAAAAACCTGAAATTTATTAATATCAAGTATTCTACTTGATGACAATGGAAAAAATTGTATTTACCCAAATATGTTTAACATATAAGACGTAGTGATTGCATTATATTGAACACACACTCTCTCAGTGTTTGGTACTGGGAATTGAATTCATGAACTCATGGATGACAGGGTGGTGCTTGTGCCACTGAGCTAAATCCCCTGCCTGAACTCACAATATTTATGTAATTATGTAATTATTTGATACAGTCTAGGAATGTCCTGAAACATTTTTTCTGAAACTACATGAAGATATCTTTTGTTTCCTTACACTTGTAAATTTTATTACTTTGCCTTTTCTTAGCATATTTCCTAGCATCTTCAGCATAATTTCGACTAAAAGTGAGAAAAGATTACATGCATTTTCTCCACTATGAAGGATAAAATATTCAGTGTTTTATTGGTGAATAGGATGTTTCTAGAGACCTTAATAGGAGTGTAATCTGAGTTTTCCAAGATTGTTAAAGTGAAAGGTTCAGGGTTTTTTGGTTGATGCGCTGCAAAAGAATGATGAAGAAAATCACTCAAGGACGAAATCTTGGCCTGCACAGAAAGTTCTATTTCTGACTTCAGTAAAGTGGATTCAGTGAGCTGAAGAGAGAGGCAGTCTTAAGTATCTATTAAGTTGTGGTTGTTCCCTGACCTACACTACTGAGCCTAAGGGAAGGTTGCACTTCGTAAATTGTGCATTAGGAAACTTTGGGAAAAGTCATAAAACTCCATGGGGGAAAAATGTCTGCAAGACCAATTTCATCCAGAGTCTTATTTTTAAAAAAAAATTTAAAAAATTTTAAAGATAAACAAAACAAAACAAAACAGATACAATTATGCACCTTGTGAGAGGTTGAGACACATTAGAGGTGGAAAGAAACAATGTCTCCAGAGGCTTTGATCTTCTGAAGAGTTTGTCTTGAACACTGTCTGCCTGAACATAGATGTTTGGTAAGACAGAAAGAACCAGGATAACATTCTCTGACTACAGATGAGGATTTCTGTGCTCAGACTGAGCCAAGGGTTTTCTGTTCTGACCACCTGTGCCTGGCTTGTTCAAGTGTGGACAGGAAGAGTTCAGTGTTTCTGCAGCTGCAAGCTCAGCTCATATCACCCCTGCTGTTTTGCATGCTCCTCCCAACAACCCCTGGTGTCAGAACTCATATCATTACCTGAGCCGGAGCTCTGGGATACCTGCACCAGGGAGGTCCCAGCATTCATCATGGAAGGCCTGGCTTGCCTCCTCTGTCTCCTGTTTCTCTGGGTCCCAGGTGAGGGCTACATGGGAATTTTTTCCATATCTGTGAAAACTCTCAGTATTGTTTCCTATGTACACTCGTAGATTCTATGTTCAATAAACATCATAATGCAAGTTCAATGTAGAGCAATGAGTTTAGCTCTACTTAGAAGACAATTGGAGTGATGTAGATTCCATGGGTGAAATTTCTATTTTATTTTTTCAATCTCAGATTCCAGTGGACAAACCCTGTTGACCCAGACTCCAGCCTCCTTGGCTGTGTCTCCAGGAGAAACGGCCACGGTCAATTGCAGGGCCAGTCAGAGTGTGAGTAAATACCTAGCATGGTACCAGCAGAAACCTGGGCAGGCTCCCAAGCTTCTCATCTATGATGCCTCCAGCAGGGCCACTGGTGTCCCAGCCCGGTTCAGTGGCAGCGGGTCAGGGACAGACTTCACTCTCACCATCAGCAGCCTGCAGCCTGAGGATGTTGCTGTTTATCACTGTTACCAGTATAGTAATGGGTGACCCACAGTGATTCATCATGTAACAAAAACCTCCCCAAGACAATGATCATTATTTATTCATAGCAGCTGCTTCCTTTATGGTCAGCTGCTGTGGTATCTGCTTAATACTAACTTTTGTTTCTTCCTCAATCTGAAAATCTTGTGGTTCTGAAAAATAACTTGCTAATAAGATTTTCACTAAATTCTGGACTTTGCTTCAGACTCATTTGCACAGCTACATTGAGAACATTTTCCCTGCTAATGACATTAGATCAACCTCACATAAGTTATATGTTTTATATCCAGTATAGTAAGTGAACAGAACAACCAAGAAAAATAAGTAGATTATGCACATGTGAGATTTACCCTGATAAATATTGAATTTCATCAAATTACATATCATCATCACTACCTTAATGATATATATATATATATATATATATATATATATATATTTCACATCACTAAGTGTAAGCAGTCTGAGGGTTTACAAGTTCATGCATTTTAGTGGTCTCACGGATGCCTGAGTCACCATGGCCTTTTTTGCTCCAGAAAGTATCTGATTGCCAAGTTACTCAAAACACTTCCTGTTATTACAGTGATTCCCTTTCAATCTGAGGATAAGAAATGCATCATGTACATTCATAGAACAAGGACAATTTCCTTTCAAGAACTTTATCTCTGATTGTATTGAAGTCACTGGGAATTTTATAACCTAAAAGGTGAAACAAAAGCATAAACCTAGTTATTTTCACCACCCTGCTCAGCAGTGCTGAGATGAATAAAATTCAGATGGAGGCTGAATGTTGCTCAAGGACATTTTCTCAGTCCAAGACCATGGAGGAGAGTTGTGGGGTCGGTCACGTATTCAGCCAAAGCTGCTCTTCCATGATTCTAAAGATGGGTCAGTTACAGTGCACAAAGGACGACTCAGAGCACTGGGTCCCGGACCCAGGCTACAAATATCCCCTTTGTGTACGTTCTTCTTCTTTGCCCAGAGTCTCTTTTTTCTTTTAACCTTAAAGCCCTAGTTAACATCTTTAATATACTTCACAGACTATGCAATCTATCCAGTTGAATTAATTGTATAATGTGTAGATTAATACTAAAGTACAGTCACAGGAGTGTGCAATAGTCACAAGAATCAACTTGGAACATTTTCATCACACCTGAAGAAACCCAGTATCCATTAGTGGTCAGTGTCCCTTTACTCAGAGCCCATCTTAGCCTTGTACAGATACTAAAACATCTACTGTCTTATCTATTACAAACATCATATAAAAAATTTACCTGTGTTGATGTTTTGCGATTATGTTATTTAACAAGGCCAACCCAGTCATAACATCTGGGTGTGTGTACTTTAAGAGGTCCAAGATTGTTTCAATCCATATGTATATGTGTTTCCTTTTTCCATTCATCATATGATGAATGTTTGGATAGTTGCCAATTTTAGCTCTGTGGATAGTGCTGCCATATACCCTAGTGTACAAGTTGCGATATGGACAAAACTCTTTAAACCTGGGAGTGGATTTTCTGGTTTATGTGGTTACTCTATGTCTTATCTTTTAAGGCCTCATCAAGCTGCCTCCACAAGGTGCTCACACATTAACCTCTATGATAAGAAAGGATCTCAGTGACTGAACAGCTATAGGAGCTAAAATACTGCATGTGGGGAAATAAATCTGAGTATGTCATGGATGCTCATTTGCTCCTCTGTCAGTTTGGTTTTCTACACTGTACAAACCAGCATCTGTGTTACTTTGTCTGGTAGATGCCAACTGACTCCAAATACAGAAGAGACAGGCTGAGGAGTAGAGAGAAAAGACTGGGTAGATAAGAAAGAACTGCTTCAGGGAATGATCTAGTGAGGGCAAAAACAGAAATGAGGAGCTGGATAATGGGATTTCCTGTAAGAATAATAGAGTAGGGCTGGGATATAGCTCAGTGCAAGGTTCTGAGTTTGATTCCAGGTACAAAAAAACAAAACAAACAAACAAACAAAAAAAAAAAAAAACAGTGAAAAACCCAGAAATTTGAGAAAGAAATCCTTAGTATGCAGTGAATGTGTGTTAGAATCTTGGAATTGCTTCTAGGATTGATAATCAAAATGCCCAATGTATATTGATGATTACAGCATGCTCCTTTAACTAATTAACATTTTCTTTGATTGTTCTCAGTCCTCACATAAAGCAGGAGGTTTGAAAATACAGATAGTTGTTTTTTTCAATACTTCATAGTACCAGTCTGATGCATCTCACGTAATCGTACAAAATACATTTTGCAGGCAGAAAACTACCGTGCATCCTAACCAAAGCCCTGACTTCCTCTCCCTGGGTCAGAGCCCCTCCTCCTGCCGCAGTCCACTCAGCCACAGGGATTTTGTGTCCAGAGCCTCAGACACACAACCAGCTGACACCCAAGAGCAGAAAAATCTACACAAAATAGCAACGTACCACAATTATAAAACAGAGTAGAGCAATGGATGGTAATAAAAACAAGGTTTACCATGATAATATTTTAATATATAGTGAAAATTAATTGATTTTTCTTGCCATTTTGAAATATAATATTTTACAATCATGTAGATTACACAAAAGTATAAGCATATATATATATATATATATATATATATATATATATACACACACATATATTCATGGTTGTAGTCAAAGGAAAACATAGTACAAAGTAAATATAAACTACATTTTAAGCTGTATGATTTTGGAGAAGCTCAGCAGTGACTGCTTGCATGGCATGTGTGATGCCCTGAGTTTAATGCACAGTATATATATATATATATCTATCTATATATATATATATGGATATAAATATACATATAACAGGTAAAATATCACGTGTAATTATCCAACACTGACTACAAGAGAGTGGCAGGCCTTCCAGCTCCTTAGCATTCTGCCCTGCCTAGATGTTCTATCTAGTACACCAGTCAACTCACCTTGAAAAGAATCAGGGCCCGCTTTCAACCAGAAGAGCCAAAGCACAAGGACTCTTGACACAGATTGGCCACTGCCAGGAGCTTACCAGGACCTACCACGCCTGTTTTCCCAGTGTCACATAACTGGTAACTGAATTGTTGCAGGGTAAAACAGAGTTTTACTCTCTGCTGTCACACATGTATATGTGCAGGCTGATGGAGGAAGAGAGCTAGAGAGACAGAGTCAGAGAGAGACAGAGATACAGAGACAGTGCTGTCACTACCCCCTACAACAAGAGAAGTCACTTTGATGCCAGCTGGGTCTGGGGCTGGCTTCCATATCACCAGGTCCCATTAACTACACAGCCTCATGTAGTAGAGCAAGTCAGACACAGGAGCCACCTCCCCTGTGTGCCAACCCACACCATGGCCTCCAACACTGCTGTCACTCAGCATGAGCCCTGCTGCAGACCCCCACTCCACACAGCTGTGACAGCTGCTAAAAGCATGGAACAAACTTAGATGTGTTTATTCTCATAAAAACATCAGGGCATTGGATGAGGTAGGAAGAATAGTAGTTCTTTGTTGGAATATGCACTTCCTCTCTCAGCTCAGTGCGCAGGTAACTATAGTGTCACAGATCACAAGGTGGCAGGAAACTGTAGCATCTTCTTGCCAAAGGGGTGGAATTGAATAGGGCAGGGAGTGCAGCAGGATCCTTCAGTCACTGTGCTCACCAGACAGCTGTCACCTCCCCTTGGCATTTCACACACTGTTGCACCCTCCAGGGATTTGCATAGTGTCACTAGGGAGGACTTTCACTGCGAGTCTGAAACTGAGATGAAGGCACAGTTGTACTCTGGCTTTAATGATTAAGACTTTTCAGCTCAGCTTTAAGAATGAGGGGCCCCACTCAGTTCATGGGGCTATTAGTTCTCTGGATCCCAGTGAGGACAGGGAGAGAGGAGAAAGAGATGCAGGGAGAGGGGTGAGCTCTGGGCCCAGCTGCTGCCCATATGGGTTCTGTTCCCATGTGAGATGTGCAAGTCTTTCCTTCACCAATGGGCACAGGAGGTTTAGAGAGTGCGGGAAGTTCCAGAAGAAGCTGGCATTGGGGGACAGGTGTCATGTCCCCCCCCCCCCTTGGCCATGTGTTCACAGCAGCCATAGGAGTGGTAAATGGTGATTAAAGTAATCATGAAGTTGCTGAACACCAGTGAGTTAATCAGCAACAGGGGTTCAGAAAGTGTGGGGCTGAGGGGGTTTTGAGGGTTGATTTGACTCCCAAAGTAGAAGGCAAACCTCACATTAGGGTACCTTTTGGTGATTCACCAGGAAAGGCCAGAGGCCAGAGCGTGACAATGATTAGAGCTTGTGGCATAAACTCAGATACACCTGTGCCCCAGAACTTCGGAAATGAATGTGGATTTAGGATTAAAAGTGATTTTCCAGTTGGTCCAGTCCAGAATCTTAGAAATTATTCTCCTGATTAATTTTATTTTGATAATCTAATACCCTGTGTAACATTTTCTACACGCAAAGAAGTATTTGGATCACAATCCATGTGTTTGCCTAAGTGAAGAAGAAACAGTTCAGTTGGCTGAAAATGTGGAGAACACAGCTCATTCTGTAGCTTATCATCAGTGTGCTTATTGGTTATCTAGTAAGAAAACTGAACAGAAATTTATGAAGAACCCAAAATATATTGGCCAACCCAAACCTAAGCTAACTATGTCTGTTAAGATTGTAATTGTGGGGTTTCCAAAATCTAGGAAATCTACAGATAAGCATGTGAGGTGTCTGTCTTTTCCTCAAGCTAAAAGGACCTCTGAAACCCAGTGCCACCTCCGTAGGAAAACGGTCATCAAAACGGACTCAAAAAGAGAAAATGTAAGCAGATCAACAACCATTGAAGAACAAGGTGACGACCATCATTTTATTACTGTGACAAAACCCCTGAGAGAATCACGGGCCATATTTGTCAGGGTCCACAGTGTTGTGGTTTCAGTCCGAGGTTGGGGGCATCATGGTTCCTTGGCCTGCGGTGGGGCAGCACATCACGGTGAAGGCACAGGGCAGGGACAGCT